CATTCCTAAAAAAAACCCCCAAAAAAACCCCATTCCCACCCAAATTCCAGCTGCTTTTCCCTCTTTTCCCACCCAGTATTCCCTGTGCAACGATCCCCTGATCGAGCTCTCCAACTCGGGCGCCAGCGGCTCGCTCTTCTACGTCTCCAGCGACGACGAGTTCATCATCAAAACCGTGCAGCACAAGGAGGCCGAGTTCCTGCAGAAGCTCCTGCCCGGATATTACATGGTGAGCCCGGAATTCCGGGAATTCCCGGCCCTGGAAAGCACCGGGAGCGACCAAACTGAAAAAAATCCCGGCTGAATCGGCCGGAATCGCGCTCGGGTCTGTGCGGAGCGGCGAGGATCGCGTCCTCGGTGCTGGTTTCACATGATTTCAACCCCCAAATCCATAGGAAAGCCACAAAAATCTGTGGAAAACCCCAGAAATCCATGGAAAATATCCCCAAATCTATAGGAAAGCCACAAAAATCTGTGGAAAATATCCCCAAATCCATAGGAAAGCCAGAAAAATCTGTGGAAAACCTCAGAAATCTGTGGAAAATATCCCCAAATCCATAGGAAAGCCACAAAAATCCGTGGAAAACACCCCCAAATCCATAGGAAAGCCACAAAAATCCGTGGAAAACACCCCCAAATCCATAGGAAAGCCACAAAAATCCGTGGAAAACACCCCCAAATCCATAGGAAAGCCACAAAAATCCGTGGAAAACACCCCCAAATCCATAGGAAAGCCACAAAAATCCGTGGAAAACCCCAGAAATCTGTGGAAAATATCCCCAAATCCATAGGAAAGCCACAAAAGTCCGTGGAAAACACCCCCAAATCCATAGGAAAGCCACAAAAATCCATGGAAAACCCCAGAAATCCGTGGAAAACCCCAGAAATCCATAGAAAATATCCCCAAATCCATAGGAAAGCCACAAAAATCTTTGGAAAATCCCCCCAAAAATCCATGGAAAACCACCCAAAATCCATACAAAACCCAAACCAGAGGGATTCTGATGCTCTTTTCATATTTTATCTGTAGTTTTTGACTCATTCCCGACCCCAAAACCCGCAAAGTCCATGGAAAAACCCCTACAATTCCACAGAAAAGGACTAAAAATCCATGGAAAAACACAAAAATCTGTGAAAAACCCAGCTTAGAGGGATTTGGGTGCTGTTCCCGTGTTTTATGTGGGGTTTTGATGCGTTCCCCCCCTCACAACACCAAAACTCCATGGAAAATCCCTCAAAATCCCTAGAAAGGCCCCAAAATTGGTGTAAAACCCTAAAAATCCATGGAAAACCCCAACAATCCATGGAAAACTCCAACCCAGAGGGATTTGGGCGCTGTTCTTGTGTTTTATGTGGGGTTCTGACATGTTCCCGCCCTCACAACCCCAAAACTCCATGGAAAATCCCTCAAAATCCCTAGAAAACCTTCAGAATCCGTGGAAAAACCCCCACAATTCCACAGAAAAGGACTAAAAATCCATGGAAAACCAGAGAAATCCGTGAAAAACCCAGCCTAGAGGGATTTGGGTGCTGTTCTTGTGTTTTATGTGGGGTTGTGACGCACTCCTCCCCTCACAACACCAAAACTCCATGGAAAATCCCTCAAAATGCCTCAAAATCCATAGAAAAGCCCCAAAATTGGTGTAAAACCCTAAAAATCCATGGAAAACCCCAGAAATCCATGGAAAACTCCAGCCCAGAGGGGTTTGGGTGCTGTTCTTGTGTTTTATGTGGGGTTTTGACTCACTCCTGACCCCAAACCCCTCAGAAACGGCCCAAACCCTGAGGGAATTTTTTGGAATTTTCACCTTTCTTCCCTCATTTTTACCATTCCAGAACCTGAACCAAAACCCCCGGACCCTCCTACCCAAATTTTACGGTCTGTACTGCGTGCAGGCCGGGGGGAAGAACATCCGAATCGTGGTGATGAACAACCTCCTGCCCCGCTCGGTGCGGATGCACCTCAAGTACGACCTCAAAGGCTCCACCTACAAACGCCGGGCCTCACAAAAAGAGCGGGAAAAGGTTTTCCCGACTTTCAAGGACTTGGATTTCATGCAGGATATTCCCGACGGGCTTTTCCTGGATTCGGATATGTACAACGCCCTGTGTAAAACGTTGCAGAGGGATTGCTTGGTGAGTTTTTATTTTTTGGGGGTTTTATTTTTGGGGGGTGAATTTAGAGATTTTTTTGTGGGTTTTTTTTTGTGGTTTTGGCGGGAAAATGGTGGGTGTTTTGTCCTTTTTCCTGTTTTTTTGAGGGAAAGTTGTGGGTGTTTTGCCTTTTTTCCTGTTTTTTTGAGGGAAAATTGTGGGTGTTTTGCCTTTTTTCCTGTTTTTTTGAGGGAAAGTTGTGGGTGTTTTGCCTTTTTTCCTGTTTTTTTGTGGGAAAATGGTGGGTGTTTTGCCCTTTTTCCTGTTTTTTTGAGGGAAAGTTGTGGGTGTTTTGCCTTTTTTTCCTGTTTTTTTGAGGGAAAGTTGTGGGTGTTTTGCCTTTTTTTCTGGTTTTTTTGAGGGAAAGTTGTGGGTGTTTTGCCCTTTTCCTGTTTTTTTGAGGGAAAATTGTGGGTGTTTTGCCTTTTTCCCTGTTTTTTTGAGGGAAAGTTGTGGGTGTTTTGCCCTTTTCCTCTTTTTTTGAGGGAAAATTGTGGGTGTTTTGCCCTTTTTCCTGGTTTTTTTGAGGGAAAGTTGTGAATGTTTTGCCCTTTTTCCTGTTTTTTTGTGGGAAAATTGTGGGTGTTCCATCTTTTTCCCTGTTTAATATATATATATATATATATATATACATAAAAATATATAAAGAAACTATATTTTTTTTAATGATTTTTTTTCTTTTTCCGTAGAAAAATGTTAAATATTTGTCTCTCACCACCTCTAAAATTACCAAACTCAGTGAAATTCTGATGCCTTTTCACCCACAAACCCCATTTTTTGTCCCTTTCCCACCCACAAACCCCATTTATTGACCCTTTCCCACCCACAAACCCCATTTTTTGACCCTTTTCCACCCAAAACCCCATTTTTTGACCCTTTCCCACCCACAAACCCCATTTTTTGACCTTTTTCCACCCATAAACCCCATTTTTTAATCCTTTTTCATCCAAAAACCCAATTTTTTGACCCTTTTCCACCCACAAACCCCATTTTTTGACCTTTTTCCACCCAAAACCCCATTTTTTGACCCTTTTTCATCCAAAACCCCAGTTTTTTGACCCTTTCCCACCCACAAACCCCATTTATTGACCCTTTTTCATCCAAAACCCCATTTACTGACCCTTTCCCACCCACAAACCCCATTTTTTGATCCTTTTTCATCCAAAAACCCCATTTTTTGACCCTTTCCCACCCACAAACCTCAATTTTTTGACCTTTTTCCACCCACAAACCCCATTTTTTGATCCTTTTTCATCCAAAACCTCAATTTATTGACCTTTTTCCACCCACAAACCCCATTTTTTGACCCTTTCCCACGCACAAACCCAATTTTTTGACCTTTTTCCACCCATAAACCCCATTTTTTGATCCTTTTTCATCCAAAAACCCAATTTTTTGAGCCCTTTTCCACCCACAAACCCCATTTTTTGACCTTTTTCCACCCACAAACCCCATTTTTTGACCTTTTTCCACCCACAAACCCAATTTTTTGACCCTTTCCCACCCACAAACCCCATTTTTTGACCCTTTCCCCCCCACAAACCTCAATTTTTTGACCCTTTCCCACCCAAAACCCCATTTTTTGAGCCTTTTCCCCTTGTTCCACCCTCCTCCCTCTGGGAATTCCGGGATTGCCGAGCTCCTCCCGCTTCCCCAGGTTCTCCAGAGTTTCAAGATCATGGATTACAGCCTGCTGGTGGCCATCCACAACCTGGACCAGGCGCAGCGCGAGCGCGCGGCCGGCGCCGGCAGCGGGGACGGGCCGGGGCGGCCGGCGGCACAGAGAGCGCTCTACTCCACGGCCATGGAGTCCATCCAGGGAGAGGCTCCCCGGGGAGGAACCTTCGACACCGACGACCAGTGAGGGACTGGGATGGACTGGG